CTCATTAATATTGACAAAACTCATTACCATGCATCTGTACTGCAGCATGACTGGAAAAGGGGGGTTAGACGAGAATATTGACTTCACTCTCATGTGCATGCTATAAATAAAAGCAGCTTAGCCAAGCATAAAGACTAGAAACGAGATGAAACAGCTATCTTGACTGCACATAGAGGACTGTAAACCTTGCCACAGTTATCCTGGAAGAGCATTCAAGCTTCTATTTTGTCACCCAGGTGACAACACATTAGACACCACATGAAAGCACCTGAAATAAAAAACTCAGATATGGAGTATGGAACCATGAGAACAGAAAAATCAAGAAACAAAGGATCACAGTTTATTTACGGGTGTCATAGCACAAAATGTAAAGCCTGTGAGCATTTCTTTAAAATAAACCAATAAAAACAAAAATAAATTCTAACTAAAAACACATAAGTGGGCGTGGCTGTCTGGAGAATGGAAACAAATGATTGCCTTTAGTCCCATGTAGGCAGTCCTGTTGCTAAATATACCTCTGGGTTGACCCTCCTGTTCCTACCCCAGCAGCAGCCATGGGGGAGGCTAAAACCACAGCAGGCAGGTGAGGTCCCGTCTTCCCACATAGCACATCTCCTCCATGCTGTCACAACCGCAGCCTCAACGACATCTCAACCTCTAGACACTATTTCCATCCAGAGGAGCCGTAACAACAGATGGCCTCTTGTTTGAGGAGCAAATGAAAAGATTATGATTGCAGTGATGATACCAGGCCTGCATTTCCAGCAGGTTTTTGGTCTAGTTGAACTCCATTCGTTAAAAAACAAAAATTTCTCCAACTTAAGCGATGATAAGTTTCCATAAACGATAAGTTCCCTGAAAACTTCTTGTGACTCTGAACAGTACTCCTCTACAATCTGGACCTTGCTTCATCGAGTTATTCGTTTAGACGAGGTTATATTCCAAACCTCTGTGGTTTCTTCTCTGTCAAGTATTTTTCTCTGCCCCGGGTTTTATCCAGAGGCAGAGAGGCAGACTGCCGACAGACACTGAGAGGATGCTATTGCTTTGTGCGGTTGCTATTATGAGTGAGGGAGTGCTCTCTGTCTGCTGCTGCCAGTGACGTATGGATGGGACTTGACTGGGGACCCATCCTGAGCCGGAGACAAAGCAGCAGGGGCCTGGCACTGACTTCGCCGTAAAAGAGGCCTCTGGGAGTGAAGGACGGGGAGGGGGGGGGAAAGACAGGTACAGAGCTCATCATCCTCCCAGGTGGGCACTTCGTGGGGAAGTCAGATGGGGAGGTGGTGCAGCTCTAATGGCCCTCCCATGTGGCTCAACAGATGCCTGCAACTTTCCTCTTCCTTCTCACTTGTCACTGTATCCTGGAGACAAAGACAACGGGGATGTTATATCCCCCTGCCTGCTTCTCCTTATCAACCCCTCCATCTCTTCTACTCTTCTACACCTCTTTAGCTGCTTTACTTGCTGCACAAACCCCTGTGAGATGCTACAGTCTTGCTAACAAACAGCTTAGCCGCCCCACCCTCCTGTAGCTACCCCTGGCCTCCTGCCTGCTACACACAACAGCAGAGCCCACAGCAGGACAGGAGACAAATGCTGACTATAGCTTTTTACTGCAGATAGTCATTGGGTAACCAAGTGTTGTAATTATCTCTCTGTATTTCTTTTTAATTTATTGCTGATGATTAAATGATTTATCGGAGGAGCTCTCTATTTAAAGTGCAGTTATTAGGGAGGTAAGAGTGCAACAGTTCATATTAAATGTTGCAGTCATACCAAGTCACACCCTTCCACTAAAAATAAATCTGTAAATCACCGTGTTTTGGTGACAGGAAAAATGTTGCTATTCCTGTAGCATGAAGCACCAGGGTACTGTATTCCATTACTGCTCAGTCAGCCAGTTGGGACACTTGAGGTACAGTAGCTGCTGTATCACTTCTCTCATCCTGTATTCTCTTGTCCTGTATTAGTTCATTCATTTGCCCCTCAACCAGCTGGATCAGTCGTATAACTGGGCTACACCTTTTTAATGTCTCTGATCTGGATAGAACGAACAGTAAGTCTGTTAAGTCATGACCAACCTGCCACCTCTGACTGCAACCTGGTGCCTTACATGCTGTTGGGCCTTTGGCTAATCGCTGCCAGGTGCAGGCAAATTGAAAGAAGATGAGTTATCGGCCAAAACAGACCGTGTCAGTGTCCCCTCCCACATGGCAGAGAGGTATGTGGGTAGTGTGACCCGGCTGGCAGGTGCAATGCAGCATCTGCAGTTTTAGACGTCTCAGTAACAGCATGTCACCATGTGCAATATGGGTCAAGTTCACAAGGTGGCACAACCACATACACTTTAGTCACACAGGTGATTATAAACTCACTTGTAGCATACATTATATGTAAACAGTTTTTGTGCAAAAGTGCAAATTTTGCAAAGGTGTTGTGGCTACGATCCGCAGTCTGTTAAACCTACTGTGGAAATGAATGAGTTCTTTTCTGAAGAACAATAACGATGTCGTCACTGAGTCGCTGCATTAAAAGAGCATCTGACAATCTGTTTTTATTAAAGTAATTACAATCAAGCCACATTCTGAATATTAGCCCGCTCAGCCCCGTTCTCTATAAGGAGGTCTGTGTGTTTGTATCTGTGTGATTGCATTCATGTTTGCTATGTTAGTGTCTGTGTTTCTTTATTTGAGTAAAGCTGAAAATTAAGCAGTTCCCAGGCAAGCAAAATCTTATTAGGCACGTGGAGAGGCTCTCTCCAGCCGGGTGAAGAGGATGAGACAAAAACAGGCAAATAACCTCAAGTCGACAACAGAAACACAAGCCACCGTTTGTAGTAAAATATTGTCTAAATTTGGAAAAATATCTGCCCTGTTCAACAAAAACATCCTGCAATCAAAGTCAACTGAGCAGATTTGTCCTGATGAATAAATTAATGAATTGATTAATAATAAGGAAATATCAATGAGGATATTTTCCAATAATGGGGACATTTTGTGGTTAGCACTGTTGCTTTAGACTAAAGTCTTGTTTTTTGTCCTGAGTGGGATTTCTGGCTTTCTCCCAGAGGTTCGGTTAATTACCAGTTTGAAATAGACTGAAGGTGTGAGGTGCTACCTGTCTACCTGCCCCTCCTCTCACCCCTCGACAGCCGGGATACGCTGCAGCTCCTCCAAACCCTGAACTGGATAAGCCTTTAAAGCAAACCAGTGAATATTTTCTAATGTTTAACCTCCTAAGACCCGAACTCTTCCACAGCTTGCATTTTTTATTTCTCTTTGCTATTTGGGCATATTGGGGCCCGATGAATGTAAAAACAAAGAATTACCAGATTTTTTTTTTTTACCTTATTTTTGTTTTTATGAAAAATCAGAGCCACATATGAGGATATTCGTTTAAAATTTTGATAGAACAGTAGCAGCATAATGTCCTTGTCAGTGGATATCAGGCCCTTGTAGAGCAAAATTGAGCATTTTAGTCTAAATAACCCAAAATGGGATGTCCACATATGTGGACGCCAGGTCCTAGGAGGTTAAGTTGTAACGTATGTCATAAAATAGCAAATAAAAGCAAAATCAAAGACAAACACAAAATTAAACGGCACTATGTGATATGATTTCATGATATGATCCGAGGCTAACAAATCGTGATGAGTCAGATTACTAAAAACGAAAGATTCTGACAAAAAGCTGCTGAACTCTCTTCAAATACATAATATTTATTTTACTTCAATGTTGTATTGTTGTGATTTATATGTTTGTGTTGGGTGTTCGACGGTTGTGGAGGCTGACCTACTACTTCATATTTGTGTCAACTGTGCTGTCGGGACCACCTACATGTATAATCCTCCCATGCACTATAATACAATCTTCATCATTTCATGTACTGTAATAACCACAAACAGATATACAAGAGCTTCCTGTCTGCCTCCTTTAGCAGACAGACTGTCACAGAAAACACCAGAATTGGGCCACAGGTCATTTTTCTGTGGCCTTGATCGGAGGTTGATGGAATTATTATACTTCCCCATCGTGGCACCGACAGATAAACCCCTCACTGTTTGAGATTAATCTAACATACAGCCTGAATGCTTGCTACCCGTTGCACCCTTGTTGAATGCCTCAACACAGAAAGAAATCCTAAAGATTTTAACTGTAACTAAAATAAAATGTTATGTGGTCATAAAAGAGTCTTTTTTAAACATTTTGCGTTGCTATTTCTTCACCTCTCTTAATCTTTTGAGCTGCAGTGAGACACATCGTCAACAGCCAAAAGTACTCCTGCAGGTCTAACTGTTCTTCGCGCTGCATCGCTGTGCAGCTATTCTCTGAAAACCATTAAAAACACGCTGGAAGTCTTTTCTGTTTGTGAAATTTTAAAAGGCCGATTGTACTGATGCCCTACAACTACAAGAATAAAAACATAAAACATATTCTAGCTCAGTAACAGTCGATAGCCTGGCTGGGTTTAGTCTCATCAACATTGATTGGATCCAGCTTTGGATACTCTGAGCTCTGTTGTTCTGTTCACATCAAAACTAAATATTTTGGAGATATTCAATGCATTCAAGTTAAAAGTCATGATGTCTCTACAGCAGTTACAATACAATTACAATACAATACAATTTTATTTATATAGCACATTTAAAAACCTGAAGGCACACCAAAGTGCTTCACAGTAATATGGAGAGTCAACATAAGTCAATAACAGGGTACAAATCAGGCACAAGCACAGACAGGATAGAGGCACTAACAGACCAGGAGAGTTAGATGAATACAAAATATGCTAAGAAGACAAAAACAGCAGTAAAATTAATAAAAAATTTTTTAATAAAATCTAATAAAAGATTTAAAAATTTTAAATTCTAAATATTTAAAAGGGTAAAAATGGTGTCTTACTAGAGATTGTATCAGTTCTACTGATACAATCTCTAGTAAGACACCATCGCCTATATTTATCTTATTCTTTCTAAATTAATATAGAGCTGGAAGTCTTACCTCATGAATTATTCTTTCATCTAAGATCTGCGGCATTCCTTCCCTGGAATGAGCCCTGACCCAGGGCCCCATGTCTGGCTCGGACCGCTGCACTGTTATTTCAATAAACCCAATAAGATGAAATTAATTGGCCTGCTTGTGAGGCAGCTGAGGCGTAAAATGTTTGCAGGTGCATGTGCGTCTCAGAGTTCAGCTCTATAATCAAAATGTGTGCGTATGTTTCGCTGCTAAATATGTTTACAACACCGCAGGACTTACCCCCTGTCGTGCGCGGTGCAGGCGCTGACCTAAATGCCCCAGACTCTGCCCTGCCAGGTTTGAGAACCTGAGGATGGAGTCGGCGCGCTTGTGCCATCAGACCTGTGTGAGTGATGATGGCCTGACATCTCTGGCAGCTCTGTGACCACAAACCTTGTCTACAAATGGGTCTAATGTTGCGCCAAGTGAGCTATAATCTCCAGGCAACACAGCATTTAATTTTCCATTTTCAGCTTTCCTAGAAACCAACCCCTCCTTTACTTTCTAATCATCAGTTGGCAAGCTAAGTTATGGTAACCCACCAACCAGCCAACCTTTTTGCGTCCCAGTGGTGAGACAAAGTTGAGCCTTATCACCTAGGTAAGATCAACTGTCCACTTCTGACCCCAAAGTACTTTCCTGTCACCTACCACAACAAGCCTTTGCACCACCC